ATTGGTTCATAATAAACAAATTCAAATAAGTTCAAAACAGAATTCCATCACAATCCAACCTAATAGAAAAATAAAATTGCAAAGCCCAACACGCAACACAAGCCTCATACAATTTTTTTCTATCATTGGCCAAATTTCTTCTCTACTACAAATCACAAAACTAGTTTGGTTCATGGTGAGACAAGATCAAAGAAAAACAAACGCAGAAAAGGTGAACTGTCAAAATAAGAAGCATCACAAATCAGAATTGCAAAAATCCAGCATCATGTTTCAAGCAACAATAAAAAAGCCTCACTTTGCTTTGTTCCAACAAAAGTCAGAATTGTAATGTCAATTATATGCCAAATTATTTACTACAAATCTCAAAACAAATACTCAAAAAGGGATCTGTTTGGTTCACAACAAAGTACGGGCTCAAATGAAAAAAGAAACAGAAAACCAGAAGCAACTAAGCCAGCAAGCAACAAGTACCAAAATCTAAGCCAGCATGCAAACAAGTACCAAAAATCCAAACCAGCAAGAAACAGAGCCAACAAGAAATAGGGCCAACAAGTAATAGGCATAACATAGCAAAAGTACAACAAAGTTGACATTTCAGAAAGTTACAAGTCCAAGACAAAAAGAAGTTTTAAAAAGTATGTCATCACAAATCCAGTTCAAAAGAAAATCTCTATTGCACAAAGATATAAAAAGGCCATAGTGAACACAACAGGGACAGGAAAAAAAAAGAGCAGCCAGGAAAACAGCAATCCAAAGAGACCTTTATTCATCACTTTCCCTTCATAAAAACTCCTTCAAAAAATCGTCCAAGCAAAAAACAACACAGTCCACACACAAACAGATATAGAGAAACAAAGGTCGTAGCAAATACAGAAATAGCCACAAACCCAAAGCCTTTGTTCATCATCTTTTTTTCTTTACACAAATCTTTGAGAAATAGTTCACACAAAGAAAATACAGCAAGTATACAAAAAATAGTCGTAGCAAGAACAACCAAAAACCCTAATTTTGTTTCATCATTTTCCTAACCCTTCAGAATTGGTAAAAGAGGAACAAAGAAGAAGAGAAAATCCAGAAACGAAAGGAGCCACAAACATTCCAAGAGATAAAACAAAGATAAAGATCAGAACAATCTTACCCAAAGGTTGAAGCGGTAAATCCAAGCTTCACGGGGCTTTTTCTTCTTCTCTTTTCCTTTCCTCTTTCTTTTTCCCTTTATGCATTGTTTCTGCAAATCGAGTTCCTAGAGTTTCATTTTCTTTCTCAAAATCATTGAATCCGCTGTAATAATCAAACAAAACAATCAATTAGTATACCCTAAAACAAAACAAAATTGTACATAAATCGATGAATCAGAGAGAGAAATGTCGTAGATTTGGTGGCGCCACCATCATAACCAACCACCATCGTCTTCTTCACACAAACCAGAGAGAGAGAGAGAGGATGATAAATCGAATGAGATCGTGTTTGAAACCCAGAGATGAACAGCACGATATAGAGTGAGTCGTTTGAGAGAAGAGTGTGAAGCCTCTAAAGTGAAAGAGGCGTGTTTTTATTTAGGGTTTTCACAACCCATTCCTTTGTTATAGGCTTACACACATCATCCCACTTAATCCAAACTATTTCAGAAGCAACTTTCACTCCCCACAAAGGAACTTTCTTTGTAACTTAACAAGTTTACTCCAAACCAATACAAGCATCTTCAGAAAATATAAGATTGAGGCGGGGATAATATTCAACACTCAATTAAGGAGAGCCACTCTACCACCCAAATTGACATACCTATGCTTCCAAGAATTGAGCCTCTTTCCCAACAAGTTAACTAAAGGATTCCAAGTAGATTGAATATGAGGATTATCCCATATTGGCAAACTAAGATACTTAAAAGGAAGATAATTAATCTCACAATAGAGGAATTCTCCAACAGAGGATAAAAAGACATAATCCATATTGACCCCCTAAAAGACTATTTGAAAATTTTTGCTTTAATCTCCAAGGTCAATTCATAACATCTAAGAATAGCCTTAATACTCTACAAATTCTTTAGAGTAAGGCCAGTCACCAGGAGAGTATCATCAACATGCTAAAGATGAGATATCATTAACCCAAATGGTTCCCACCTACAACCCAGAGTAAAAACCAATCTCCTTAACCCTTGTAACTAGACCACTAAGGCTTTCAACCATAAGAGGGAAAGGAAGGAAACTAGGGGGTCGCATTGCTTCAAATCTAGTTGGATACTGATTTCTTGAGTAGGACATCTATTTACCAATATTGCAAGGTTACCAACAAAGACAAAATCTCTCATTCAATACCTCCCCTTCTCACTGAACCCAGATCTAATAAGCATATAATTCAGGAAGTTCTAAACAACTGAATTATACGCTTAATAAAAACCCACTTTAAGGATGACACATGCTCTTTAAGATCTCTTAGCCAAGTTGACCACCTGACAACCAACACTCAGTCAACAAACATTCTCCCCTTAAGGAATTTTGGTTGGTTAGAGGATATATATGAGCCTGTCCATCGCTGACCTAAGTCTAATAGCCAAAATCCTAGCCACCATTCACAAAAGTAAGATGCAAAGCTAGGAGGTAGAGATGCAAAACGAGGAAATTAATCAAACATAATCCCCGTGTCAAACTTTAAACAGGTTCCAAAATCTTTTCAGGAAGAAGACATTAAAATCATATGGGACAAGACTTTTGATATAGTCACACTAGGATATATCCCAATCTAGATTCTGGAGAGTAAATGAGGCCAACAAAGCAAAGTTATCATCTTCTGAAAGAGAACGAAAGACTACACAATCAATATGAGGTATATCAAAGTTTAGTTCTTTAAAAATCTCAGTGAAATTCACAACCTCTTTTTTAATATTGGACACCTATTCAATCTAATCCTCTTCAACTTTAAGAGTTAAGATAGTTTTCATTCTTCTTCTACTCAAACTAAACCATGGAAATAACCAAAATTAGTGTCATCCTTCTTAAACCATTTAGACCTAATATCAATTCATTTATAGAATTAGAGTTGGGTGGAGGGTGATTCAACAAGGTTCACATGATTTATATGAATAGAAATATACCATGTTATTTCTCAACAGATAATTAAATTTTGTAGTATCAACTAATTTTTTTCTTTAAAACCTAAAATTAAATAAAAATAAAAATAATATATTGATAATATAAAACTATTTATGCTATTATATTTTTCATTTTTAATAATATTTATTATGAAAAAATTATATATATTTTTATGAGTCAAAGAAGGAAGTTGTATATTGGGATAAAAGTTAAAAGAGTGTTTGAAAAGTTAATTATTCATAAACTTTTAAAAAAGATTTCTATAAACACGAAAGTTTTGTTTAAGGAGGTAAAGAACTATGTAAGGAATTAGATGAAAGAAGAAGAAAAAGGTAAAAGAAGCCTCATATTTTTTAGGTAAGTGTTTTTAAATTATAGATAAAAATAATTTAAGTATTATAAAGAGAAAAGAAAATATATATCACTTAAAGTAGTGGGGGCAAGTTCACACCTAACTTTATACTTACTACTTCATACTATATAGTTAAAATTTCCCTTCCATTTTTCACACATAAATCTATTGGACCAAATTTCAACCCAAAAAAAAACTTTGGGCCAAACAATTACTCAAATTTAGCACCAAATTAAACTCAAATAAATAAATAAAATTAAAAAAATCTAATTGCCGACAAGATAAAGACAAAAAGAGTGCCACGTCACAACAGACGATATATTTTATTTTGCATTGCAATGAAAAGCGCGAAAATGTGTAAGCGCAAAGCTACCATTTTTGGTGTTTTTTTCGCTTATTATAAACGTAAAATCTTCACCCTCCAAAATTCACTTCATCTTTGCGGCGCACTTTGTCTTTTCTAGGGTTTCTCTCTCTCTCTCTCGAATCTGTATCTAAGTTTTTGGAACTGTGCTTCACTTTTCCGTACAATCAATCACTAAGGTAACGTGTTTTTCATTCATAGTACACTGTCGATTACTCTTGTTTTTATTTGCATGTTTGTAACAATTACACACTCGTTGTTTTCTTTTCTATTTTATCTTCGTATTTATCACTGCAAGATACTAATCATCATAAATTTATGATATTATTGAAACGCGAAATGGACTGCATTAGATGAAATGATCTGTTATTAACTCAGTAACTTCATCTTGTGCAGATCTACTCAGGATCCACCATCCGTTTCTGAAAATATTTTGTTTTCTTTAGATCTCAAGACAAGTTCTATTTGGTACCAAACAGATTGTAATTTGCTTCTATGATGAACACATTTCACAGATTTATATATACAACTTTAGAATGATTCCGTTTTTCTAGTTCTGATCTCTTAATCCAGTTTATTCTATACTTCACTGTTAATTACCTGTTTTTGTTGTTAGATCGTCAAGATATCATCCTGTTATCACTCATTATTGACATCAATGAAGCACATATACGCTGATACACCGATACGCCGATACACTCCAATACGAATCTGAATTATTTTATTTAAAAACAAATTCTGATACATCTTGATACGGCAGTGACACGTCGTGATATATTGGTGACACGTCTCTGATACGTTGGGAAAAGGCTAGTTAATCTCGTGACTATTCATATTTTTAGACTTTAATATACATTTCTTAAATATATAGAATTCTAGATTTTTCAATGACTGATGTATCTCTGGATCGTATCTGTGCTTCATTGATTAACATAGTTGACGTATTATTTTGTTATTTTCTAAAGTTAGAGATATTGTTTTTCTTATTTTTCATTGATCGTTGATGGTAGCTACTAGCTAGTTGTTGTGCTGTGTTAAGAGACATATTTTCATATATTTTCGTGTTTTTTATTCTTTCTTTTCCTCTATTCTAGAAAATTATAAGCTACCCTTATGTTTCTTTGGTTAAAACTATAAATGTAACAGTGTGTCACTGTCACTGTTTCTTTGGTTAAACCTATATATGTAACATTGCATGACAGAAGCAGCTACCATTTGCCCTCAAGTACTATCATCAAAGACAGACATGGATCTTCATCAATGCTTTGGTAACAGGAGAAAGTCTTTGCCCTTTGTCCAAGAGAATGGCTATTCTGATTCATTTGATTCTGGTGCCAATAACTGGTTGCCTTTCTGGTTGTATTTAGTCACAAGTTCATACTTTCTGTTGAAGGGAAATGTCAACTTTTTCAGCGGCTGCAGAATAAAATCTCAAGAGAATGTTTCTTTATGTAACAAAAGCACACCCGATGAGAGAACGAAGAATGATGCATCTGTTGTAGATGATGCAGTTAGCTACTCTGAGAGCTTAGGGTCTCCCCACAGTACTTGTTCACCCACCTATTTTGATGCTTGCTCGGAGATTTCTGACTTTGACAGAACAAGTTACTGGCATTCTTTACTAAGTCTTGAAGAGGAAGACTCTGAATGGCTTTCAAATTCAATGATATCTAAGAACCCTTCAAGTCCTCTAAGCTACAGTGGTGATTCCTTCACTGATTTTTCAGATGTAGACACAACTACTTACTGGGACTCCTTGCTCAAACTTGAAGAGGAAGATCGTGAGCGGAATATGGACATAGCAAGTTACTGGCATTCTTTACTAAGTCTCGAAGATGAGGATTCTGAGTGGCTCTCAGATTCAATGAAATCTGAGAACCCTTCAAGTCCTCTAAGCTACAGTGGTTATTATTTTTCAGATGTAGACACACGTAGTTACTGGGACTCCTTGCTCAAACTTGAAGAGGAAGACCGTGGGTGGAACATGGACAAAGCAAGCTACTGGCATTCTTTACTAAGTCTTGAAGATGAAGATTCTGAATGGCTCTCAGATTCAATGACATCTGAGAACCCTTCTAGTCCTCTAAGCTTCAGTTGTGATTCTTTCACCGATATCTCAGATGTAGGCACGCCAAGTTACTGGGACTCCTTACTCAGACTTGACAAAGAAGAAAACAGTAAATGGATTTCAGAATCTAAACAAGGAGTAGAATGTGTTCAGGATGGTTCTCCAGTCTCATCGTATACGATAAATTGGGGTACTATGGTTCTTCCGTTTCTTCCTCCAATTTCTACTATCTCTTCATTCAATGGCGAAGAACCACTTTTTTGGCCATTTGAAGGAGAATTTGATTGGGATCATGAGGAAAGTTCATTTTGTAACTCGCCTAGGAAAATACTTTTTTTTGATCCAAACATGGACAGTCCTTTGGAATATTTTGCTATGGACCAAGAGTTTGCAATTGAGACATTGGTGGGGCTCAAGGAGTTTGATGGACATGTGGGGCTTGAACTTGATTACGAATTTATTGGTGATGGTTTTGTGCTGGAGGAATTGCTTCAATAGATCACAAGCATATGCATAGGTAGGTTCCATAACAAGTGAATGATAACTTAGAACCTAACTATTAGGCCTTTAACTCCATTGACATAACTTTACATGATTTAACCTCTTTTACTTTAGGCTGTAATTGAAGAACATGTATATGTTAGGGTATGGTTGTAGATATAGGCCACAAACTTTGTCGCCTTTGTTGTTGTTTATCATGAAATAAATCTTTGTTTGAATACATTCAATTTTGTTATCAATGTTGGCAGTATTGATGCATTGATAACTGTCTCTTCAAATTATTTTTTGTATAATCCTTTTAGCTAACACATGACCACTAGGTTGAGTTTTTTTGTTCAATAACTGTGCACTTTTTCAAAGCATTTGGTCAATTAAATCGTTTGCAATTGTCCAATGTAAATTATTCTATATCGCTATGACAATTTGTGTTTTGAATTCTCTTTTGTAACAATATTTGAGTAAAATACTAGAGAAAATGCGTTTACTTATGAATTTGTATTAATTAACTAGATTTGATTCCTGCAAGTAACCTAATATGTATTTTATAAGAAAAACATGGTCAATAGATACTGTAATGAAAATTTGAAAAATAGAAAATAGAATAGAAAAGATCCGGTCTTCTGATACATAGGTGGACCACCGGAAATTGAACCGAACGTTCCTTTCCCTCCTAAGGTCAACTCATTGTCATGTTTGAAAAGAAGAAAACCAAATTAGGGTTGAATTCAATTGTTGAATGAATTTCAAGGACTAGAATAGCGAAGGTTTGAAAAGAAAGAATATAAACGTGACAACCAGCATTCATAATTTTGGTTATATTATTCAGGAAATATGTTTAATCTCTTAACCATAAGAGAAGAAAAAAGTTTAAAAGAGATAAATTGAGGAAGAGTCACCCACCCACCCTAGTATTTAGGAGTGTTCAAATTCAAAACAATCTAAATAAAAAATCGAAAATTGATTTAAAAAATTGAAAACCGTAAAAAACTAAAATTCATTGGATGTGTTTGGATGTCATTTTGTGAAAATCGATCGGTTTGGATAGGATTTCGGATTAATTTTTCAAAACCGACACTATAAAAAAAGCACTCATTTGCAACGTGAATTTCACGTCACAACATGAGGAATCACGTCACTACACATTATTTGCGACGTGTGCGTTCACGTGGCTGGAGAGGGATGGCAAACCGTTTGTGACTTGATTTTCATGTCACAAAGTTGTGACGTGAAAAACACGCCGCAACAAAATTTTATAGAAAAGACAACTCTGCAGGAAAGCAGGCGCAACAGACATAGGTTACTTTAGTTGCGACGTATTTTTCACGTCACAAAAAACACGTCACTAAATAGTTATGTTTAACCACGCTTGACCATTCAGCTTTGGTGTTTTTTTTATATAAAAAGTGAGTTGCGACGTGATTTTCACCTCATAATGTGAAAATTACGCCACTAATATTTTTTTTTTAATTTAATAACTGAATTTATTTCTCTTTTATATATTCAATTTAATAAATTTAATATAATAAATTAAAATAATAAATTCAATATAAAATAAATTTAATATATAATAAATTCAATATATTAAATTTAATATAATAAAATTAATAAATTAAAATTATAAATTTAAGAATTAATTAGTATGATATACAAACTCAAATTTAAAAGTAAAATAAAAACAAATTTAAGTTTACGGATCATAATTATCAATGTCAAAATTATCTTCGTTTCCGTCATCCTCCGGCTCTTGACCGCGAAAGTTTGGATTTTCACCAAACCCTTACATAAATTGTCTCATTTGTTGCTCCATATCAGCTTGCCTCTTCGCCACGACCTCCATTTGTCGTTGTTGCTCTTGCCTCATTGCCTCCATTTGGGCTTTCATTGCCGCCTCACGTTGCGCTGACTCGTATCTCGCCTCATTTAACGCCAATTGTCTTACCATTTTAAGTTGTTCTGGTGTCAAATTTGGTTGACGTGACCCCCTTCCCCATCTCTAACTCTTTGAAATAGAGCTTTATCCCCACTTCTCAAGGTGCCTGTCAAATTTCCACCACAAAAAAAATTGTTAGGGCCTTTTCCGCCAAAGACTTGATACCAAATATAAAAGTCCACATCTGGATGAAGCGGTTCTCCCTCTTCCGGAATATATTGAAGATTATGACTCAGAAAATTTACGAACAATGTCTGATAATCCTCATATACATTCAATAAAAAATAAAAAAATTAAATTAAATATTTAATAAATTAAATTAAATTAAATTATATTATATTATATTTAAAAAGTTGTCACGTGATTTTCACGCCACGACTTCTCAATTGCCACATGATTTTCACGTCACAGTTTCTTAGTTGGCACGTGAAAATCACGACACAAAATTGTCATTAAATAAAAAATATATAAACAACAACGTAAATTAAATAACTTACGAAAGCTTTTAGAGTGCGTTCGTCAACAAAATTCCCGATTTTCTTTGTCTGAGTCTTTTTAACCAACTCAATCATCAATGGAGGTCTCCCGAAATTCTTGGTCTAAATAATAAAATTAACATTAATTAATAAAATATAAATCAAAATATAACTTTAAAAAGTGGTAACATTTACCATGCGTCGAACATACTCTGCGGTACTTATACTTCCAACTGCATTAACGCAGCCCTCTTTTTCAGATGTCCTCATCCTCTTAAAATTTCCAGATTTAGCCCGAAATTCGGGTGACTCTCAATATTTAAGAAGTTCCTCAAAAACCTCTTTTCCTATCCAATTGGGACGGATACCCTGAAGTTCCTAACGCTCTCTAACACGACGCATTATGTCAGAAAGTCGTCTTGAGATTCTGCCATAATAAATTTTTTTTATCATCTTCTCGTTCAATGGATTTCACACACATTTTTCCTGCAATATTGTTTGACATTAAAATAAATAGTTAGATAATTATAATGAAATAGTCATTTAAATAAAAATAACTAAAAAATAAATTAATTATACCTTAAATTTGTTAAACCAAGCTTCTTTATTTTTGACATCTTTGAAGGTCTTCCAAAATTGTTTATACATTTGCTGAATTATATAATTTATAACATTGGCAGCAGTCCGACTCGGCGAGAAACTAAACAATAATAATTTGAATTAGTTATATTAAGTATAAATTTATATTAAAAATGAAAATGCATTATCTTAAATAAAAATTTATAAATAAGAAACTTACGAGTTTCCTTCGGGCCAAATCCAATATCTCCCGTCAATGACATGAATTTCACTCGGATCATCATTTCCTCGAAGATCATTTCCATCCAACACATCATCATCCCCATCCACATGATCATCATCATCATCATCCGGTTGCGCATGATCATCCTCACATGCAGGTACATGTGTGGGATGTGGGGTGCGGGATCCTCTAGTCTGTATGGGATGTGGGGTGCTGGATCCTCCAGTCTGCTGAAAGGATGAGAGCATCTGTGTGGGATGTGGGGGTGCTGGATCCTCCAGTCTGCTGGAAAGATAAGGGCATCTGTATGAGATATGGGGTGGTAGATCCTCCAATATAATGGAAGGATAAGGGCATTTGTGTGGGATGTGCAAAACTGGATCCTCCAATATGCTGAAAGGATGAGGGCATCTGGGTCTGCGGGAAAAGAAAACCAGGTGACCTAACAAAAGATGGTACCTCATACGGGCTAGTAAAAGAAGAAGTCCCAGATGAGAATGACATATTCTGAGAGGAGAGTAATGACACAAAAGGATGAGTACTGGCCATAGACATATGATCGACCTGACTCCGTGGGGGAGGGCACGTGGCCGACTGAAGTGCCTCACATGTTACTAACCTCGAGCGTTGGGACTTTTTACCACTATCCTTACTCTTATCAATTCGAGGTGGCATTTTACCTATTTATATAAAATACACAGTTAATATATATATTCATCAACAAAAATACTAAATTTGAAAAATACATTCTCTTCATTACATATTCATTAACATATTCAATAGATGATTCTTTATACTCATCAATACATATTCATTAACACATTCAATAAATATTCAATAACACATTCAATAAATAGTTTATTATTTTAAATCTTCATACCCGTCATCCATATCATTCTCATCATCTGATGTGATATTGTCATCGGATCCAAACTCTTCATCATGCTCTTCGTCCATATTATTATCAACCAACAATATAGACACATCAACTTGATGTCCCTCAACCATTGTATCAGACAAAATTGTAATTTGTTCATCTGCAATCACATCATTAATTTTCTCAACTTCATCAACTTGGTAAGCAACATCTTCCACTAGATTGCCAGTTTCAATATGACCCAAGGGTTTTGTTTTTATTACAACACACCATCCTCGTTTACATGGTACAAATGAAGGATAAAGAACATAATAAACTTGTCTAACAATATGTGACATTATGAAAGGGTCATACTATTTGTATCTCCGATCCATTTGAATCTCAACAGTACCATATGACTTATCTATTTTTATACCTCTAGTTGGATCATATCATTCACAATAAAACAAGACAACTTTATTTTCCGAGTCCAAGTAATTATATACCAACTCGTAGATATGTTTAACAAAGCCATAGAAGTCGTCTTCACTGCCATCTGTAACTCATTTTACAAATACACCACTGTTTATGGTTTTTTTCCCTTCAGTCCATGTCTCAGTGTGAAATTTATATCCGTTCACGAAGTATGTGTGCCATTCATTTGCGCTTTGAACAGGGCCTTCAGACAAGTTTCTCAAATGGAGTATTTCTGGAGTCAATGCAACAATGCTAGACAATCTATCTTTAAACCATGTTGGAAATTGAGCATGCATGACACTGGATGTTGATTGTGCATCGATACTATGAAAATAGGAGATGTTAAATTCCCTAAAAAAGAAACACACTATAAGTTTCAAGATAATAAGTTTTATATTAACACTGCAAAGAAAATTAAACAGTTGAGGTATACTTACTCAAGATATGGTTTAACTT